CAAATTCTCTGACGCGTTTAAAATATGCTTTCTGCCGTTGGGCAAAATTTTAATTTTTTTAACTTTTCAAATTAATATAAAAGTGAAATCGTTTTCTGCGATGAAATATTAAATGGGTCGTAGATATCAACTTCCGTAAAACGAATTTCTCCGGCCGTTTCGTCCCACCCTCGGCGCGATATGAACGGAACGAGCACGCTTCCGGAAGCGACCACAATGCCAATAATCAACCAAGTGGATCGACCGATTCCAACAGCTTTATCCTTGAAAACGTAAAGGCGATGCTCCGCCGTGTCCTCCCCTCGTTTTATTGTGTGCCCCGAGGACCTCAGCCCGGTCTCTTTAGCGTCCTTTAGCATTTATGCTCGAGAGAGTAGACAATTTGTGACAACCGTTCGGCTAAAGGGGTTTGGATTCAAGAAATCGGCGCCATTGTTGCGCCTTCGCTGCTAGAAAGAGTTGAGAGCGTGCTGTTTAATCGTCTGCACGAACTGCACGGTTGGAATCGTGTATGGGATGAATTTACGTTGCCTTAGAAGAATACGAAAAATAAATGCGAGTCGAGTGAATTTTGCGCGCTACACCAAAAACAACACGATACAAAATATTTTTATGATACAAATTTTATGATAATAAAATAAAATTGTATACAGATATATGCGCTGTTATACACAGACTTTAGATTATAAAATCCCTGGCTGCGCTTCATTCTTTAACTCGGTATCTAAAATCTATACGACGCCATATTAAAGCCGATGACTTGTAAGGATCAGTTATTGATGACATGCGAGGGAGAAAATATTTTTATATTTATGTAAGAGAAACGTGTCTGAGTGATTCAACGAAATTTTGGTGTCTCTTGCATCTTATAAATAAATTTTCTTTATATGAATCAGAAAGAAGGTACAGAAATGTGCAACTAGAAACTTCTAATTTTTTCCTCTCTCTACAATTTCAGACGCAATGCGCGTTTCTCAGTACATTTGTAACATAAAGAACACGATTATAACTGTTGAATAATATAATACGAAGGAATTACATAATGAGAGATATATATATCGTCGCAGAAAATGCAGACGGACGGATGCTGGCGGATATTATCGCCAGTGTCCGTCTCGTTGTGGATTCGATACGCCATCATTTATCAGTATCGACGTTACCGCGGCGGTATACGTGATTTTATTTTGCCGGAGCGTTTAACGAGAGAAAGGCGATCACATTTCATCTCATTAGCCGGCACAGCACGGTTACATCAATGTATAACTATCGCGGACTCGTCAATAAGCGCCAGAAAGCGGTTCCAGCACGTTAATTAGCGTCGTGCCTTTTTTCGTTCCCGTGAAAGTCCCGTCGGAGTTCCTGGATCGGAGTCGGCATTGCTGCGCGACATAAGGCGTATAATTTTCGACCTCCTAATCACGAGTCGGATTCGGACAGTCATGACCTTAATGCTCTCTCGCAGCTGCCAAACAATTTCCCACCGTGAACGCGAAATAGCGACGCTATCGATCACATCGAGCTCATTAGCCATACATATTTGCTAATCCGAACACGCAACGTTTCTCGTACTTTAAGATGATGAATCGATCGAACAGCCTCGATCTCGTGGAAACGACAGACCTAAAACGAACGCACACGAGTATCGCTTCACGATGGTTAAAGTTGACGTTCAGCCAGTCAGCGTTTAAAAAACAGGCGCAGGATTGCGCGATCTCCCATTTAACTGAATTAATCCGAGCGGAATCGCGCACGATGCAACATTTCGAACACCAATCCTCAATCGAAACGTAATTTGCCAAATTAATCTCGCGGAGAAAGGACTGCAGAACCGCTGTAAAAACATTTGGAATCGCTGCATAATAGCGGCTGTTTATACCGGCAATTGTAATTATAATTTAATTTTTATTTTTATCCAATTTTAAATAAAATTCTACATTTAATTTAATTTGAATTTCAACTTTTATTCAGTTTTAAATACAATTTTGATTTAAATTAAAATTTAATTTAATTTAATTTCTCTTTAACAAAATATTGTAATAACTTTTTTTTGCGCATAGGCCAAGAACTAAATCAATCGGAATGATCGACATAAATATATCAGAGTAGTGTGACATGAGAAATGTTGATCGCCCCGTGATCGAGGAATTCCTGACTGTTCGGGTGAGCTTTTTCCTCCCCTTTGCGTATATATGTCGCACGTCGATCTAAACGATCGTGACAGAGCGAGGGATTACAACAGAGAGAATAATCTAGGAAAGAAATCGGAGAAACTCGCTCGCGGTGATTTCTTCTCGCTGTTCGAGGCTTGCGTAGGAAAGACGTAGAACAATAATGGCAAGGGCTCGTTATATAACCGTATTTGTGACACGGAGCGACTCGCAGTCTGGATAAAATCGCCAGTTTTTCCCCCGCGGCGGTCGCGATTAAGATTCCAAGCATATATCCGTCTTGTTCTCGATTTCCTAGAAGACTCACTTGGTCCTACTGTATCTGCTTATAGTTTCTCCTATCCCGTTTGTACGTACACGCATTTATACACGTGTCGAAATGAATTTCGAGGCTGTCGTTAAGTGAACGATAAACATTTACTTTCTTCAACTCTAAAATAAAATTTTCACATTCAATGGATCGTTACGATTTCTGACAGATCTTCGATAATATTGGAAGTATCGTATCGTAAACTGAATATATTTATATTCACGATTTAAGAATTTGAAAATATTCGATTTTGATCATTCGAATATTCGAAAACTTGAAGATTTTTCGTTAAAAGATAGAACTTTATGAGAAATATTCCATTTAATCAAATTATTGCGTTACGTCAAAGTGAATCAAGACGAAGAAAGGCCTACAATTTCTGGAGCACCCCGTATATATCTATCGACACATGTATCAGCGAGCGGCTTTAAACAGCCGCCCATATTCATCCTAGAGAATAACGCGAGTAATTACGATCGGCGGGATCCATTAAAGTCTGGCAGCTCATTCGTCTTTATCGATGACATAAGAGAACTTTTATAGCGATAGGATTCCTGTCGGCATCTTTACGTGTATATTCCCTACTTCAGCTGTCCCCCGCGCCTTCCATTAAAGCCCTGTTACATGCCGACTGGTGCAAGCGGCGGCGACACGGCGCGAAGTAAATTGCGGCTGCTTGCGGGACGAAAGCTACGAATGAGCGTCGACAAAGAATATTACGCTTGGCGTACGGCGGTTGGCAAAATAGAGATGAGGGAAGATAAAATCACCGAGATCGAAGCCGGTATTTATCGAGTAATAATTTGCCGGCACGAGGTGCCGCGATATCGCCCGATCGTATTCAGCTGGGTACCGTTTAATGGAGCACACACGGAATCGGCGCTTTCGAGTTTAAGCGCGACAATACGATGTATATATGTACGTGTAGGACGTTTTGACGAGTCATCATCCGCCTCTCCTTTCAAGATTAGCAAGAGTAATGCGAGTGTTGTGAAATATGCGCGCATGGGATAGTAATTCCGTTACCTGAAAGGGTAGATTCATATCTTTCTGATATTTTAACATCAAAACATTGCGTGTTCACCGACTTCGTGATCTGAAAATGCAGTTTTAATTTTTTTATAGATCTTTAACATACCTTTCGAATTTCCTAAGCTTCTATGCGGCTTATGTTAGACTTTTTGAGATTTATGTAAGTTCTAGCGACTTGCTTCATATTTGTCGAATGTTTTAATATTTTTTTATCGCATATATGAAACTCTGAATTATTCTTTGCTCTCAAAAATATTTTAAAGCACATACAATATCATATTTATGTCTAATTGCTGCAGACTTGGCAATGCAAATCAACAAATCATTTTTACATGGCTAATATTTGTCTATTTAGAAGATTTTGTCTCATGTAAGATGAGGCTTAAAGATGAACCAAAATAAAAGTTTCGAAAGAGAAAATTCAATCCATCGGGTATATTTTTATGCTTCATCGACACTTATATACTTTTCTTGATATCGTAAAATATAAAAATTGTATGTTTTGCAACGTCGCATCAAAATTCAGTAATGAACGAAGTATGATGCGGCTTGTTATTATAGCCGATTATTACGCAGAAATATGGTTGCACATTATTCAATGATAAATATGAATAAGAATGTAAATATTCAATAGATGTGTAATTTATACGCCGCACCGTAAGAGTTAATTGCGGATGATGTTACGCTAATGATAGCGCGGTTATGGCTCACTGTTTTCCTCTCATTATCATCCTAAATACAGTACAAAATCATCGCGCAGGAATAGCGAGGATTCCTAACCGTCACGGATCCGTTATACCGGTAATCGAGGCAATTTTTCTCCCGACGGCAACCTTTTACTTCGTTCCCGACCTCCCGGCCTTTACCTATTTACCACCTATCAACCGTGTCGTGTAACTCGCGATACTAAATTAACGTTTGCCACGGGTGTCGAATTAGATCCCAGCCACGTTAGTTTCAACTCGGCTCATTATTTTTTTATATCACAGAAATATATAATAGCTTATATAATTACTTTATATTTTAGCCTTAGTTTCTACTACAACTTTAGCTTTAGCTTTTATTTTAGAAGAAAAGCTTAAAGATTCTGTGTTCTTAAATTTCCGAAATCAATCGCGTTTAATTAGCAAAGTTTGTATCTCTGGAACAATCGATTTTTTTGCATGTAAAACTGCTTGATATTGTTTGAAATGTAATTTCAATGTAAAGAAGGTCGCTGCAAAATCTAATCGCGAATTCTCCGTATACTACGTGTATATAAAAGCGGTCATATTATATAATACATACATGATGTAGTGCTTCACACTTGCATTTCTATCCTGCAATCTAAGCGAGACAAATGATTTTCTGTATTTATTATTTAAAAATTTTTTTACATGCAAAACAATTAAAATCATCATTTGTGATAATTTTTACAAAATGTCTGTCGATTGGAAATGCTAACTGAAGGCGCGAGAAAACGCTGATTGAAACGTCGTTTCTGATTTCAGACGAACATGCACGCATCGTTCCCTTACGACGGTGGACGCAGTAGTGGTGGCGGCGGAGGTGGTGGAGGCGGCGGAGGTGGCGGTGGAGGTGGTGGTGGTGGAAGGGGCGTCGAGTATGGCGCCGTACGACGTCCTGACGCCCTTCTACCGCCTCCGGGCCTCGACCAAACCGACCTCGTTTTACACAGCAGCCTCGTTGACGACCCCCAGGTGAGCGACGATGTACGTAATCGCAACATATTTTCTCTATTATCATCCCTCGAATTATCGTCTCTCTCTCTCCGATGAAGAAAAATCACGGTTTTTTCAGAAATGAAAGTGTTACGATTATTGGAGACCTGTAAAATTTCCCGCTGAATCAAGATATACAGTGAATGGCTTTGACCTCGGCTCATAATGTTTAAGATATCGCTAGTTTTTGAGGTTCAAATGACAATAGCGAAAATGTATTTATTTTTTAATTTTAGATGGAATTTATTTTGGCAGAATTGAAATTTATGTTGATAAATATCAAGATCTGTATCTAATGTGGAAAATAAAAGTTAAGGAAAAAAGTAGAGTAAAGTTTCCTTCTATGGTAAATTTTGTAGAATAAATTTTTCAATTTTTCTGAATGAGTTTGTTTTTGCAGAATGTACAAAAGCAGTTATGTTAATATCAAAAGTTTTAGCGTTAAATAGAATGTCAGACAGTTTGTTACAACGCAGGACGGAATGTTACGAAATATGCTCTGCTTTGCTGCGGTCAAAACCGTTTAAAACGTTTTTCTTTGTCTTATACAAGCACATTTTATTGTCAATATTTTTGTATGTAAAAAATATCCACTTCGTGAAAAAGTATTATAATAAAAAATATTTATGCTAGTGAACTGTTTTTGATGTATTGTTAAAGATTTTTACATTATTTTTTAACATTTTAACAAGTGTATCAAGGATTGCGTATTTTCAATCATAAGATATTATAAATAAAATTTTTTTAGAAAATATAACAATCCAATATCAAGCATAGTCTTATAATGTAAGAGATTTAATGTTAAAGAATTCTGTCAAATTAAATTACAGGAATAAAAATTAATCATACTTATTCTGTAATCAATTTTAAGCAAATTTTTTTTTTTGAAAATTATGTGGCATAATTAGCAAAATATGTAATGTAAAAGATTCAACTTCATACTTTCATCAAATATGTTTTTATTTTAAAAAAATTTGAAACTTGCACGTTCTATTAAGTTTATAATTAATGATACTAATTTCAATCGTTATTTTTTTAATTTTTATAGAATACAAACGTAGACGATGGAGGGTTCATGAACGATCTGCCACTCTTAAAAAGTAAGTAATTATGTAACAACTTATTATCCTATTTGTATCTCATGCGTATTCGAAACAACAGTTTAATGTTGTAAAGATATTTCCAAATTTCGGCCTATTCATTACGCGTAGCGCAAAGCTGGGTTCAATGTGGCCTCTCGATCGCGGAATCATTCGGTACGGAATTCACTTACGCAAATAAATTTACGCGTTGCAGAAGCGTAAAATGCTGCCGATAAATACATTCGCCGACTCGAAATAGTGGGCAGCAATATAATCCCGATGTAAAACGACCGGATCCCAATACACGACCGGAAATATAAAATAACCGGACCAGCGACGATCTGTCGCCCTTAATTAGAATTTATCTCTTTCTTACTGCCCTGTTGTGTCAAGGGTAGGAGCGACAAGATTTTTAAACGTTTCTTAAAATAAGTTTAAGGCCATGCACGTAAAAGTGACGCGCCGGTGCATTCTCATGCAAGTAGTCGTCCCTCTTTCAATACCCATCGACCGCGATAGAGATCGCAAAAACCTGTGTAAATGCCGTTTCGAAGAGTATCGCCTGAATCGCAACACGATAAATTATGTTCGCACGATCGAGCTTAACTCTCGATTTTTTTGCTTAAAAGTTTTCTTTATAATATATATAGGCTTACGCTCAATATATAACACAAGCTAGGAAGATTAATTATCGAGATATAAAGAAATTGAGACTCATTGCTAATTTTGCAATGAAATGGATTTCTTGCTCATTATATTATCATTTGAGAAAAACACAGTTCACAATTTTTACGAAACTTGTATCTAAGTGAATATTATTTGAGATGACTTGTCACCTGAATATTTAAATATACAATTTCGAACGGATAATAAAAATGTGCGTCAAATTTTATACTATCGATACTCGATTGTGTAACTTACAATCGAGTTACTGGTCCAGCACGGAGGAGGATGTGTTACGAATCGCGGTAGAGGCAGGTTATAAGGAAACTTGCGCCGCGTTAAATTCCGCGATACGCCCCTCTCATCGGCATGTCAATGCGAGATAGAATCGCGGCCAGCGGTCTTGCGAAAGTATCACGCTCAGCTAGACCGATTGTATCCGTTCAACGGACTTAGCGGAGAAGTCTCACCGGAAAGTTTGCCGTGATGGTTACACCTATGACCGAAATATGTAACTTTCGATCTATGAATTAATTACGCAATCACACACCGCGTTACCGCCGTGTCCAATATGGTGGCAGCAATTTTCGTCACTTTAGCTGACAGGATGTTTACCAAAGTCTGTCAAAGACTTTTGCCACGCACTTTCTCTCGATTGCACATATTAGAAACCAAAGTGAGAAATAAATTTGAAAATAATTTTACAAAAATATATAACCAATTTTTTTGAATAAATTTTCGACAGTCGGAAAAATCTCTTCGCACAACGAAAGAGAACAATATTTGTAATTTTATCGTGATTTTTCCAATTAAAATATTCCGATCTTCCCGTTTTTTTTTAATCGGATTTATTTAAAAATTTTTTCGTTGTAACATTACTTCCGCGACGGATAGGAAGAAATCAATTTCGCTTCGCATTGAACGATGTAGAAAAAATTCATGAGAAAGTTCTATAATCATTATATTAGTATATCTAGTAAAGCGCATGGGAATCCGGTTACAACGATATGATGATTTAGCGACATCATTTGGGAAACGTTGACGGAAACAACGACTTTTGGATGCCCCACATACGTACGGCCCACAAACGTTATTACGCGACGACCCTCGCTTTTCACGACGCGATTCTCTTCGCCTCTCTTCGGATCGTCGCGTCGCGCACAATGGCCGAAAACCTACCAGGTCGCATAGAATCACAGAAAGAATATATATATATACGTACTCACTCCAGTGAGAGAAAGGAGGTGTGAAGGAAAAAAAATACAGTGCGTGCCCGCGGGCGGATCGGATTTCGCTCATTGTCATTGTAATTTCTTGGCGGGGTGTAGTTTTCGGGGCGTTCCTCACCGCAGGGGTATTACCTACAGATGGCTGTTTGTTCGAATGTCACCGAGGGTTATTATATGCCTCGTTACCCGTCCTGCGCGACGGCTTATTTGACCAGTCTTTTTCTATCCCGCTGGTTTTTCTCGCTCAGACATCTTCCTCTCTCTCTTTCTTATTTTTTTATGCTTTTTTTATTTTCCAAAACCGGCGCAAAATATGCGTGAAATGCAACGTCGAGGATGTCTGGGCATCCAGTATGTACGAATGATGTGTCAGTTTACGAACGAAGAAGAATGATGTAATTTATGATTTCATCATAACGCTTCCAATTAAAATATATTTGTAATCTTTTAATTTTTTTTAAAATCGGATTTATCTAAAAATCTGTTAACGATGACTTCCTCTGGATGAAAAGACAAGTAAAACTCGTACACTTGTTTCTGTCACATATCGTTCCAATCAGAGACAGTAACAGCGACGATATATATCGATTTATAGCTAAGCGTGTTCAGCTTCTCGGAAGCCGGTTATACAATTACTGCGGCTTACCTTGGCTCCATCACTTAACGATGACGGTGACGTGCTCTAGTTTAACTTTGCTACGAAGTATCGAGGACGAATGGATTCTTTCACCAACGATGACGCTCTCCACGAAATTTTGATCATATCTACGGTAAAATTGGCGGTCGTTAGAAAGTTTTTAATCGCGAATCATAGTTTGGAGAAAAATAAAAAAAGCCGCGTATTTTCTATCTTAATCAAATAATATTTATCAATGTTCTAAATTTTTTATTTTTATTTTGTATAAGATAATAAATTTTTATATTTTTTATATGTTTTAATATTAATCATGTTGACTAGATTTACGTTTTTTTACTAATTTTAATTTTCCTAGAGATAGGTACGTTTTTTATTTAATTTTACTTTGATATGAATGAATAAACGTATATACATTGTCATAAAATAAGTTAATTAGAAGGGATCTTTTTTTTTAAACAGTTCTGTTCTTTAATTATTCGCAGTAAAAGTTTACGTGGACATGAAATATATATATATAGATGTACGATTTGCAACTAACAATAACAAATAAAAAATCATCCATAACAACAATACTATGTCAGTCAGTCATAGAATCGTTATTTTATTTTGGTTTGTGTCGATCGAAACAGATATGTTTGTTTCGTATCTTCGAAAACTATATAGCCGTGCACGCACAACAAACTGTGGCCGGAAACAATTCGAAAATTGGCATTCGATATTTCGAGAAAAAAAATGTATTCTACAAACTCAAAAGAAAGTCAAAATGAAATTGTTAAAACAATTCTTCGTGTATTTTTATCTCAAATTACACATGGCAACATGTGTTTTGTGTTAATTAAAAGTAATTAATCATTCAAAGAGAGCCAAGTAACACTGTACTCGACTTTAAGTTCTTTTTTATTCATATATTCAATACCTGCTTTAGTATCTTTCACGAGCCGTCAGATAAAAAATAAAAAACACTTACATTAGTTATCGTATTCTTTGTTTTTATTTCAATCTCTCGATTTTATCTGCAATGTGTGAAAGAATAACAGTTTTTTTTTGTATTCTTCTCTTTTATTTACTATCTAAAAAACATGTTTCCTAAATTGCATTGCAAATTTCATTCAAACCCATCTCACTTCGATTGATCGGATCAAGAGAAAATGCGCCATCGATTGCAAAGTCCGATTAGCGAGCGTGTGTAAGTGCTTTTTTATATTGTTCGGCAAACAGGACCATTCTCTCGCGCGAGACGAACGGAGGGCCCACCATCTTTGTGTAAAGGCAGCTAACTTCCTAAAATCGACCCCTAATGAAATTAACGATCACCACGGTTGCTCGTAGTTGCCCCGGGGGCCAGGTGGATCCCCCGCCTGGCGGAGGAAGCCCCTTTAGGACTGAAAAGTCACACCCTAGTCACCAGCTAACCAATCGAGGTCGAGAAGTGAGCGAAGTCGTTGCTACGCGTCGATTGGTTAAGTTTCCGGCGCGTTGATTACCCAGGAAATTGTGCGTGTCCAGGAGGCACGTGTAAGCCTGACGCCTCGCGCTCAAGGCTATTCGCAGATGGATATTTTGTATAGTGGCAGTCACGTATAGCGGCGGTAATTGTTTCACGTTAACGCGCGTGCCTGCCGTCGCAGCGTTGTTCGGCGAGCCCCTTTATTTCGCGAAGGAAGAATTTCCGCATTATCTTGTCGAATGATGCGCACGAACACGAGAAAATGTCGAATAATCGCCATCATAAATCGCTATGCTGCTACAACCGGATTTCGTTTTGCTTTGACTGCGACGTGAGCATCATATATCCGTTATGTATTACAAAGAAAACGCGACGGCAAGCAAATGACTTTATAATTTCATAAGCTTACAACGAACTTATAATATTATCTGTGTTACACATAAAATCTCCAAATCACACGACTAATAATGGTTGTCGTTACATTAGTAGGAAACGTTTTTGAAATAAAAAAAAATAAATTTTGCGATTTGTTGAAAAAACTCATGGAGCAAAAATCAGGCATTGTTTATTGAATTCAAGGAAATTTTTTATGAACATTACGCAAGATTAGCCTTGATGCGAATCCTCAATGAGATTAGAATTCGCTGTATCGAGCGCATCTAGTTGCAAAATCCTCGCAGAAGTGTGCAATAGCCGCGCATCGGTCGTCAATGCTTCGTGTGCCGTGGTTATATTAATCTATCGATATACGCGTAATAATCGCATTATATAATCGCACTATAAATCACACATAGGTGCGCGAGCACTCTCGTAAGAGTGTGCCTCTCATTATAAAATCACGGACACGGCGCGGTTGCATCGGCGCGCACGAAATGATTTCTCTAAACAGCCCGCGGCTGTGGATAATAGTGAATCGCCGGGCGAGTTTCTTTTCTCCGATATGCGTGAATTAATGATGAGCGTCGGCAATACTTATTTGTTTTCACCTTGTTTGTGTTTATCGTCGGCGTAGCAATGCTCTCATTGCTTTCCACTTCTACCT